GCATTAGTTCTTATGTTTTCAGCTTTAATCCATGTAGAGTTAATTTTTGTATAAAGTATAAGGAAGTGGTCCAGTTTCAGCTTTCTGCATATGGATAGGCAGTTTTTCCAACATCATTTATCAAACAGGGAATCCTTTCCCCATTGCTTGTGTTTGTCAGGTTTGTTAAAAACCAGATGGTTATAGTGTGTGGTATTACTTTTGAGGCCTCTGTTCTGTTCCATTATATCTCTGTTTTGGTGCCAGTGTATATCTCTGTTTTGGTACCAGTACCATGCTGTTTTGATTACTGTAGCCTTGTAGTATAGTTTGAAGTCAGATAGCATGATGCTTCCAGCTTTGGTTTTTTGTTTGTTTGTTTGTTTTGCTTAGGATTGTCTTGGCTACATGGGCTCTTTTTGGTTTCATATGAAGTTTAAGGTGGTTTTTTTCCAGTTCTGTGAAGAAGGTCAGTGGTAGTTTGATGGGGATAGCATTGCATGTATAAATACTTGGGGCAGTATGGCCATTTTCACGATATTGATTCTTCCTAATCATGAGCATGGAATGTTTTTCCATCTTTTCGTGTCCATTTTTTTGTGTGACTAATGTAAAAGGGATTGTGTTCTTGATTTGTCTCTCAGCCTGGATGTTATTAATATAATAAGATGTAATTCTACTGATTGTTGTGCACTGATTTTGTATGCTGACACTTTAAGTAAGTCATTTATCAGTTCTAGGGTCCTTTTCTCAGAGTCATTAGGGTTTTCTAGGTATAGCATCTTATCATCGGTGAAGACAGGTTGAAATCTTCTTTCCCTATTTGGATGCCTTTTATTTCTTTATCTTGCCTGATTCCTCCCGCTAGGACTTCCAACACTATATTGAAAAGGAGTGGTGAAAGAAGGAATCCTTGTCTTTTTCCAGTTCTCAATGGGAATGGTTCCAGCTTATGCCCATTCAGTATGATGTTGGCTGTGTGTTTGTCATGCATAGATGGGTATTATTATTTTGAGTTATAGTTCTTTTGATGCCCAGTCTGTTGAGGGTTTTTATTGTGAAGGGATGTTGGATCTGATTGTAAGCTTTTATGGCATCTACTGAGATGATCACGTGGTCTCTGCCTTTAATTCTGTTTATTTGGCAAGTCACATTTATTGATTTGCCTATGTTGAACTAGCCTTGCATCCCAAGAACAAAGCTTATTTGGTCATGATATATTGACCTTTTGACATGCTACTGGATTCAGATTGCTAATATTCTGTAAAGAATTTTTTACATCTTCATCAGGAATATTGGCCTGCAGTTTTCTTTTTTCATGTGTCTCTACCAGATTTTCATATAAGGCTAATGCTGGCTTCATAGAATGGGTTAGGGAGGAGCTACTCCTCCTCAATTGTTTGGGATAGTTTCCAGTAGGATTGATACCAATTCTTTATATGTCTCATAGAATTCAGCTGTGCATCTATCAAGTCCAGTGCTTTTGTTGTTGTTGTTAGTAGATCTTTTATCACTGATTTTCTCATTTTTCTAATCCTATAGATTTTCTAATTCGTGTGCATAGAGTTGTTCATAGTATTCTCTGATGATTTTTTATATTTCCGTGGAATCAGTTGTAATGTCATCTTTGTCATTTCTGATTGTACTTATTTAGGTCTTCTCTCTTTCTTTTGTTAATCTAGCTAGCAGTCTATCAGTCTTGTTTATTTTTCTGAAAAATCAACTTGGTTTCATCAATCTTTTGTATGGGTTTTTGCATCTCAATCTCATTTAGTTCTTCTCTAATTTTAGTCATTTATTCTCTTCTGCTAGCTTTGAATTGGCTTATTCTTTTATTTCTAGTTTCTTTAGATGCAGTTAGATTGTTAATTTGAGATCCTACAACTACTTGATGAGGGTGTTTGGCACTATAAACTTTCCTTTTAACACTGCTTTAGATGCATCCCAGAGATTTTAGTAATTTGTGTGCATATTTTCATTACTTTCAAAGAATGTTTTGATTCTGCCTCAATTTTGACATTTACCCAGGAGTTATTTAGGAGGATGGTGTTTAATTTCCATGTATTTGTGTAGTTTGAGAGGTCTTCTTGATATTGATTTGTATTTTTAATGCACTGTTTTGAGAGTGTGCTTGGTATGATTTCATTTTTTTAATTTATGAGGACTTGCTGTATGATCAAACATATGGTTGATCTTAGAATATGCTTTTCTGTACAGATGAGAAGAATGTATGTTCTGTGGTTGTAACTTAATTTCTTATAATGTGTTGCTACTAAAATACCAGATGAAACACACCAGCAAATATGTCCCCAGTTAAACTGAATAACTTGAGGAAAAATTTTTAATTATGCTACTAAGACAAATAGTCTATTACCCTGTAATGTAAAATTTGTAGGTCTATAGTCACTCAACCCCTAATGGAAATAGCTCTGAACTAAAAACAAGGAAACCAGGACCAGCTTTATCACTGTTTTACCTCAAAACCTTGTATAAGGATTTACTTGTCTATGCTTCAGTTTCTTCATATTTAAAACGGAGAAATCCTAATCCTAGCTCTAGCCGTTTTCCTGTTTCATGAAGCTGTTGCGAAGATATCACTAAGTAATATTTAAAGCAGCTGGAGCGTATTTTAGTGTGCTACATATTGTTTTCAGGACATTATTGATTTGGACAGTAAGAATAGCCTGCAGGCAAATCCTCCAAGGTGCTTCAACAGTCACACATGTCTACCTTCCTGTTGGCACAGCCCATGTTTGACAGGTGTATTCCATTCCTTACAGGAAGGAATAGGTGCTTCATTGTATTACAGGAGTCAGTAAGCTTTCACAAAACTAAGTAATTGACATTTTTCTCATTTCTGAGATCAAATTTTCATAAATCATTCGACCTGGATAAATTGAGAATGTAGTTGATCTGGTAATTGTTGAAATATAATGAAGACATTGCAAAATATGATATTTAAGAATTTCCTACTAATCTTTTACCTTAACAAGATATGAGTTCTAAATGGAAAGATGTCCTAATGTAGAAAAATGAAACAAAAGTAAGATGAGCCTGTCTGTAAAGGAAAAGCCAGAAGAAGCACAACATAGATTCATCTCAGTAATTTGGGATCCCATTGATTCTGGATTTGTAGTAATAATAATAACTAGAAAAAATAGAGCTTATGTTTATGTTATGAAGAAGGTTTTTCTTATTAGTTAGTAATATAAATTATATTATGAAGAAAGGATACATTTAGTCAACTTGCAAGTGATATTTTCTGGCTTTTAACAACATATGCAAAGAAATGCTACTAATGTCTTAAAATGATTTCTACTGGAAACTATTTAATGGTATTTCAAATTACTATTAGATTTTAACAATAAACCTAAAATTTCATAGTGTAGTTCTATAATTCATACTAACATTTTTCTTTACCCTCATCCACAATTTAAGTTAATTAAACTTTGCCTTAAAGGATTCATATAGTCCTGTGAGTCATAATATTCAGAGTGTGTAAGGTGGCACAAGTTTTTAAAAACTAGGGAAGGTCCAAGTATTACAGACTAATCTAAGAATACAGTGAATTTTCTAATGACTCTTCTTATTCAGGTACTTGCTTCACTAGACTGTTTTAGTGGATATATAACATTTATGTATAGTTTGCATTTTAGAAAAGTTTGCAGTGATAAACTCAGGTAAGATTTTTACTCTAAGATCATTACTGTGTTTCTTAAAGCAAAGTTTTTGATGCACTGAATTATTTTGTTTCATTTTCCTGCTTTTTGTCAACAGAATTATTGATAGATGCAAAATTATCCAATAAACTTCAGCTAGTTTTCAGCATTATATGCAGTTAATTTCTACATTCCTTACTGAAACTTTCAAGTCATCTAAACTAGAATGTATGACACTAAGAATGCCCTCATTCCTTTAGTGTCTAGCTCTGTGGTGTGTTTATTTGCAAAGGACCCTCATGCATGGATCCATATAAATGAGGCAAACTGTGAAGCAGGCTAGACTGTGCTGCTTACCAGTCTTTGAGAGAGGAAGATTGTGTATATGAAAACTGCTAGGCATGATATTTATTTATAAGGAAGATTTCTGTGTGTATAACATGAAGCAAGATTTTTGGTTGAGGTTTTATGCTTCCAGTAAAGAAAATAAAAGAAGAAAACCCATTAATGGTCTGATTCTATCATCCTTTGTCAAGCAAAACTCTCACTGATCCACATGAATATGACCTCCTGCTCACAGAGTAGTCAGAACACTGAAGAATGGACTTCTGAATTTTTGACTGTCTTTTCAATTTAATTGACAAGTTTCTAATCAACTAAAAAAATCATTTTATTTAACTAAAAAGTCTATATAGGTAAATTCTAGTGTATTTATGATACTCAGAGATAGAAACTTGGTTTTTAATTAGAACTAAAAGTCTGGTTATATTAGTATCACATCATTGTGTATGCTTAAATTATTTCCAAGCTACTGTAACTTGAAAATTTTCCCACCTAGCCACATAATTTCTAGCTTTATTTTTATCAGCCAATTCTGTGAAAAAGAAGGGAATTTAGTACTTAGAAGTTATACAGTATACCAACCAATGAATCACTTATCTAACTAAGTAACAGGTGAAAGATTGCTGGTATTTCTGTTTTAAAATATGTGCTTTTCTAAGTTGAAAATCAGTTTATTCTCCATTTAATATACAATCCTGTCATTGCATAGTAAATGATTCATTCACAACCTTAATGCAAATAGGTAAATGTATCGAAATGAGTATCATAAAAACTTTGTGTGGCTTCCGATGCTGACATAATTCAAGAATCTGGGTTAAAGTTTGTGTCATTGCTGTTTTTTTTTTAACCTCAAATATTTGGCAGTCTGTACCAATGTCTCTCACAGTAATGCTTTGTTTCTTAACATGACTGTGAGGACTGCTTGGTCACAGGCAAATACTGTCCTTTATCAGCCAAGATATTTTTAACAATAACTGCACTTTTTTCCCCCTTCCCACCTGCACCCCCACCCCAACTTAGGTTGGAAAGGCTGGTGGATGTGCTGAGGAAGAAGGTTGGAACCGGGACCATGAGGACAGTGATCTGACTGAAAAAACGACAGTCTGGGGAAGCGATCACATCTGGTGACCAGGCTGCTTCATTCAACACTGTGTAAACACTAAAGCCTTAACTTAGCAAACAGTTGTTAGAAGTGGGACACTCCAACCACATTCCAAGCTGAGATAAAATCAAATCACAAATGTTTAACCACTTTGCTGCTGACTTGAGTTATTTATCCAAATATATTAACTACAGACTTTTACCAATAGGTAGATAAAAGGTTACAGCTTATTTTGTAACTATTTTATATCTCAATATCTTTAATATAAATTTTTTTACAGAGAGATCATTATAGAAACATGTTAAAGTTGGTTAGGATCATATCTTTACATATGGCCCTTTCTGAATCAAAGCGCAGCAAAGTAAATATTGTCTAAGCTTTAATCCACTGTGTTAGGTCAAAACTTCAAATACATGCATTTTTCAATATAGGGTATATTTCGTAACTGATGAGAGAGGCTTAAACATGAGTGTGTAGTCTTCCTTCAATGCATGTATGTAATCTTTGTTAGTATTACAAAATATTGAATATAGATCCCATGAATTAAATGTGTAATTTGTTTTAATAAGAGACAGATACATTAAAATTACATTTATCAAGGCATGATTTTTTGTTTTACTACAAGTAATGCAAACTTTTCAATAAAAAGGGGAGATTGTTAATGTACACTTATGAATTCACATTGTCAGTATTTTTTAATGTTGGGTCTGAATAATTATCCAAACTCTACTTAAGCTATAATAATTGCCAAGTCTCTGTCATTTTTGCTTGAAAATTAGCATGCCTCCATCTTAAAAAAAAAAAAAAAGAGACCATCAAACCTGTTAAGTATTCTTACTGTTTATCTTTTTCTAATTACCATTTTATTTTTGTTGTGGAGGAGGGGAATCCAATAAAAAATATTTAAAAAAATTATAATGTAGAAATTACTTAGAAAAAAGTAAACTTGCCATTTGGTTAAAGTTACCTGCTTTTTATTTAAGATACAACATAGCAATCACTTCTATTCATATGAAGTTATGAATAGAACTGAAATTTTTATGTAATTGGCTATAGTCAAAATATTTTTATTTTTTTAGATTAAAACAGATGGAAGCCCAAGAGGAAATGACTATGCATGGAACAGGATGAAATAGACAAGTAGAGATTTAATTAGTGAAAATTTTTTAGGCAAGGAAAATTTTTTTCTAAGTCTATACATTTTTAATTTATCTTTAAGATTGAGCTAAATTAGCTACCATTGCCTATTTACAGGGTAAGTACATCCAAGACAATTATTGCACCATTCTTTCATATATCATAGTAGATTATACGTTTGAATTTTTTTTACTTCACAGGAAAAATGTAAGCTACTTTGTCATAGGTAATGAAAGAATCATAATGCTAACAAACTCTATTTCTTCCTTATTAAATCTGTATTCATTAAAGTAATTTTTTAACTATGAGAATTAGGAAATAAGGGACAATGGGAGTTTAAAATAAACTAATTTATTTTTCTCTATAGTTCTAAAGAGAATTATATTCTCTTATAGACCAGGGACTCTATAATACAGAAATAGGTAATGATTTGGTCATACAGGGAGTCTTGTCTCTGGGCTGTATTTGAAAGTTGTAACAGCTCCCTATGTGAAGAAACAGCATCTTCAAAGTCATCTGGGAGGTTCAGGTAAGTAAAGAAAAACCATTTTTGTAACAAAATGGTCCATTCTTGATCCCTCTTAAAATAAATTACAAGTAAAATTGAATTTTTAGTTTAATCCTGAAAACAGACGAACTTTTCTTCAGTTATTTTGTCTGAGGCTTTAGAAGACATAAAATATAGTATAAAGGCATTTCACAATTTCCAAACAAATCTTTCTACACTTAAATGATCAAACTAGAATAACCAATTCCAATAATTAATATGCAAAACTTTTGTAGACTATGATATTATAAAGTTAAATTCACAAAATAATTCTAACATCCACTATTGTTCAGTGTAGGTAATCTCCCAAAAATATCCTCTTGAAAATGAGTTATTCACAAAATTTCAATGAGTTGTCTACAGAATTTCAAATGCAAAGTATTACAGCCAAATATTATCTTAATTAATTTCATACACTTAAAAATGTCCATCAACAGTATGTCATATGGTCTTTATGTATTTTTTCTGTATGGAGGAATAGCCTTGCTTACTGAAGATAGGTTCTCTATATATTCAACAATAATGCAACTTTAGAAGTATTCCACACTGCTGAGAAATGTTGCTTTGAGTTTGCTTTACGCATCAAGTCTAATTCCTTAGTAACAAGAGAATTCACTTCTTCTTGTAAAAATAAGTAATTCACAGGAAACATTTGTAGCACTTGATGATTTACGAAGTCCTTTTACATCTGTTTTTCTTTTTCATTTCATCCTATCAACAACCATATAATAATAATAACAAATTTTATATATAACCTATATAATAATGATGGCAATGATAATTTTAGTATTACTGTCATTATAATTATTATTATGTTCATTCTGCCGATGAGGAGACAGACTCAGTAAGCCTTAGAATTTGCCAAGTACTGCCTAGGACTTAGAACTAAGATCTTACAACAATACTCCATGCAACTAGGAGTCTCTAAACCTCTCTGTAAGAAAACAAAAAATTCAAAGTAAAGATTTTAACTCTTGCGATTTCTGTTGTTACAGTACCATTTCTTTCATATACCTACATACAAATTCGCTAACAATCAAAAGATTGTACACATTTCTTTCAATAAAGTACAATAATGTGAACTGCATATGTAAACAGCATCACATTATTACCACCTTTCTATGGTATTATAGTGGCAGCATTGCTTTGCCTCAGCCTTCAATAATGAGAAATATTGTTGACAATTGATTTCTAATAAAATATAATGTGAGTCTCTTTGTACTATTTTTAATTTGTCCTGATGCTAAAACCTATCAGCTTAGTTTTATCACATGGTAGTCTAAACTTCAAGGCTCTCTCTATCTCCTAGAGCAATTATTAGAGCTAAAACCAGTTATAAGCAAAGTTATTGGTTATAAGCAAGGTATAAGCAGTTAAAGCAAAGTTACTAATTATTAATATATGAGAATTTTAAACTTTATAAATAAATTAGAAATGTATTAATGTATTTTAAATACTTTATGGAATAAAATATTTTGCTTGCTTTTTTCATTGATAAAGTTGATCCTTTGTATATTTCCTTATTCAAATAAACTCAATCATCTTATCAGGTCATTTATTTAATAATTAGTTTATTTTATTAAAAAGCTAGAATATTAAAGATTTATACCGTTAATATTGAATATAACTTTATAGAAAAGCATTTTATATGTACTATTCTTAAAGATCACAATTATTTTTAAAGTTTCTATTTTCAAATAGTTGTGATTAATAAAGCATTGTATGATGAAATAGCCATGGCTTATACATTTTTGTTTTTTTATACAGATTTTTTACTGATTTTATTGTGTTGCTGGTAACTACTATTTACAACTAACCTGTCTATTCATATTTTACATATATATATATATATGCACACAGATGCATTTACCTTTTCAAAAAAATGATTTATAAGTCAACTGTTAGGCTCCGGTGATTTCAGTATTTTGTTCGTGTTTTATTGGAAATGCACGTGGTTTCTGAGGCTTTAAACAAATACATGGAATGGTTGAAAGATTTATTTTGCTCGTGCTTAGCTAAATATGTCATCTCTAGAAAAGATTTGGTTTGTTTTGGCACTGTTTTAAAAACTCAAATATTTTAAACATTTGTTAAGTTGGAGCTTGCACATTTAATCTAGCAGCCTACGTTCCAGAAGAGCATCTCAAGTTACCAATTTTTTTGTAATCCTTTTACCAGAATAATCTTTTTTGAAAATGTTTTCTTGTGCTCACTTTGGTGCATATATACTGAAATTTTTTTAAAAAGCTTTTCTTTTTTACTATATGTTTTAGCATAAGTTAAGTTAAACTTCTATAGGTTGAATTTTTTAATGTAGGACTTCATAAATAGAATTTGACAATGATAAATATGTATTTTTGATAATCATTAAAATATTGCATACAATGGTACTCCTTTGCAGAAGTCTTAATATGCTTAATTTTTGTAATCTAATTGTCCTCCAAATATAGTTTTGGTTTATGCTATTATTTTAGAAGGCACCAATTTGGGACTATCTGATTATTTAAAAGGGCGTATTTTAATGCACAAACTCAAATTTCTAAAATACATGTTTACTTTATATTCAGATAAAATCCCCTATTGCAAATCCTACACGTATTTCAATGCAATTCTTATACGTCGATCTTAATCAAATTTTTAAGTATACAATCCTGAAGACAGTGTACTACATATGCACTATAAAATATATTGCAGTAAAGAAACAGATTAAGTTCACTGTCAAACTGTCTGACTTCCTTAACAAATGTAATAAAGATAAATGTCATTATGAACAAATTTGTTAGGTACCTTAGGAATCTTTCAAAACTATTTAGATATAAAATAAAATTATAGTAATAAAATATTGAAGATAAATATTATTTTCAGCAAATATCATTAGAAAGAACCTAAGAAAGGAGATCAAATTAATTAAGAAATAATAGACTGACTCAAATCTACCATAAAGCATCTCTACTAATTTTGGAATATGTACATGGAATTTTGTGTCAATAGCTGAAATCTAAAAACAATGTTTCTCTTGTGTTTGATTATTCAATCATGATAAGGTAAATGTAAACAGACTATGTATCACCTGGAGTGAACTTAGAATTCAAATCTTAGAGTAAAAGAGGACTAAAAGAGGAACAGAGTGGAGCTGGGCACTAGGTGTCTTTAGGGGCAAAGATTCTATAAACTGGTAATATTTAAACTATCACATTACTTTGTTAAATTATTGTTTCACCATGTATGGCCTTTGTGGTTTGTCACACATTTTACTTCTCTAATGCACATAATTGTAACTTTTTTAACTTTAAAAACTTAATTATGTTTAAGAAAATTTTCAAAATAAAAATGAACATATGTCATATTTACTCATGTATTTACCATTTCCAGTGCCCTTTTTTTTTGCATATATCCAGGTTTTCACCTGTTACTGTTTTCCTTATATATTTTCTGATGATAAGTATTTATCATCTATATACTAGTGCAGAACTGTTGGTTCAACTTTCATATGTCTAAAAATGTGACTCTTTTTCTGCCTTCATTCTGTGTGGAAAAAAAATTGCTGCATATGGAATTTGAGGTTAACAGAGTTTTGTGGGGTTTTTTCAGTATTTTAAAGATATTGGTCTAATACCTCTGGCTTACTTTGTTCCTGCTGTCATTCTTACTGTTATTCTCTACATTGTGTGTCCTCTGACTGCTTTAAAGATTTTCCCCTTGTCACTTGTTTTAACCAATTTGATTATGATTTATAATATAGATTGCTGCATGTTTCTGTGCCTGTGGTTTGCTGAACTTCTTGGATCCATGAATTTATAGTCTTATCAGAAAATTTCAGCCATTACCTTTTTCAATATTTCTCCCTATCTCTTTTTTTTTTCTTTATCTGGAACTACTATTCTCTGGATATTAGGCTACTTAAAGTTGTTTTACAGCTTGTTCATGCTTCATTAATTTTTTTTATTTTTATGGCTACATAGCAGGTGTATATATTAATGGCACACATGAAATATTTTGATACAGGCATACAGTGCATAATAATATCAGGGTAAATGGGGTATCCATCACCTCAAGCATTTATCCTTTTTATTATAATTAATTATATTCTTTCAATTATTTAAAAATATACAATAATTATTGACTGTAATCATCTTGTGCTACTTATCATCTTGTACAAAAATTAGATCTTATTCATTCCATCTAACTATATTTTTATAGTATTTTCATTTTTTCTCTGTTTCATTTTGGATAGTTTCTATTGCTTTGTCTTCAAGTTTGCTTGTCTTTTCTTTTGCAGTGTCTAATGTGTTGTTAATCCATCCAGAGCCTTTTTATTCAAGATGTTGTATTTTTCATCTCTATAAGTTAGAATTTAGTTTTTAAAATTTTTTATAGCTCTCATTAACTTGTTTATGCTTTACATTATCTTCAAGAACATAAGACATATACAGTGGTTTTACTTTCTTGGTTTTAGTGACCCACAACTAACCACAGTCCGAGAATAGGTAAGTATAGTACAATAAGATACTCTGAGATCGAAAAACCACATTTACATGCCATGCTTTTTATTACAGTATATTGTTATAATTGTTCTATTTTATTATTAGTTATGTGTAATCTCTTATTATACCTAGTTTAGAAATTAAACTTTGTCATAGAAATGTACATAAACAAAAAAAATATATATAGGGTTCAGTACTATCCTTGGTTTCAGACATCTACTGAGGGTCTTGGAATGTATCGCCCAAGCTGAGAAGAAGGGATTGCTGTAGTAACTGTTTTAATGTTCTTGTTTGTTAACTATATCATCTATGTAATTTACAGATGTTTCTACTGATTGATTTTTTTTTCTTACCATAGGTTATATTTTTCTGCTTTGCATGCTGGCAACTTTTTATTGCAGTTACTGTAAATTTTATCTTGTTGAGTGCTGGATATTTTTGTATTTCTTTAAAATGTTTTGAGTTTTGTTCAGGAGTGCAGTTATGTTGATTGGAAACAGTATGATACTTTTAAGGCTGTTTTAACTTTGACAGGCAAGACCAAAACAGCTAGTCTGGAGCAGAGTTTTCCACACAAGCGAGGCAATCCCCTTCTGAATATATTACCTTATGTTCTTTGTGGTTATGTGATTTATCTACTCCAATTTGTCACAACAGAAACCATTCCTAATCATGTGTGAGTTTAGATCATTATTTTGCCTTTTATTTCCTGGTGGTTTTTACCCTGGCCTTGCTAGTTCGCTGACATATGTGTGCTGATCAGTACTCAAAGGAAGACTCAAGGAATACTCTACAACTCTCCAGAGCTTGCTCACTTGCTCTCCTGTGCATGTGCTCTCTCTCTCTTTCTCTCTCTTTCTCTGTGCAGCCCTCTCCTCTGCTTAGAATTTCTCCTCTCCAGTACTCTGAGCTGAAAATTCTGTCTTCCCTGGTATCCCCAGATTCTCAACTCTGTGTTCTCAACTCAGGGAGACTTCCAAGCTCTGTTTTTGTTGCCCCTCTCCACACCCTGTAAATTCCACAGACAATAAACTGGGGCAATCATAAGGCTCACTTCATTTGTTTGATTCACTGTATTGGACTGCCTGTTGTCCAAAGTTCAAAAACATTGTTTCATGTATTTTCACTATTGCATTTTATTTGGTTGGTGTTTGTTTTGGTTTTATTGCTGTTGTTTTTTTAGTTTCTTAAGGACAGTGGCAGGATAAATCTGGTCCCTGTTATTCCATGGTAGTCAATAGTGTACGTCCTTCTGTAGATCTTTTAAAATGTCATCCTGTTAATGTCTAGCTTCTCTCTTACCTGTTTAGAAATCAGCTATCAGTCTTATTGTCTCCTTGAAGTAAACTTTTTTGTTTCTCGGATTTTTACATTTTTTGTTTACTTTTTTTTTTTTGGCAGTTTAATTTTATGCCTTGATGTGGTCTTCTTTTTTTTTTTTTTTTTTTTTGCCAATCAGTTTGAGCTCTATGAGGTTGCTCAGGTTAGCCTTGAACCGATGACCTCGCCTTCGCGAGCGCCATGACCTCCGGCGGGAGCCACTTTGGACCCCTATGGTCTTCTTTTTATAGTTCTTGCTTGAGTTCAGAGACCTTAGTAAATCTCTATCTTCATCTTTTGTCAATTTTAGGACATCTTTAATCAATATCTCTTTCTCCTCCTGAGACTTCAGTTACATATATGTTAACCTTTTCACTGTGTTCCCATATTTTCCATTCTTTTTCTTTTTTAATTCTATGTGCAACAGTTTCGATTTTTTTTTTTTTATTTAAGATACGGAGTCTTGCTAGGTTTCCCAAGCTGGGCTTGATCTCCTGGTCTCTAGCAGTCCTCCCATCTTAGCCTCCAAATGTGCTAGGATTACAGGCTTGAGCCACTACACCCAACCAATTTTGAATTTTTTAAATTACCTGTCTTTTACTTTACTAAGCCTGTCTTCTTTGAAAGCCATCTATTGAATTCTTAACTTTAGGTTTGAATTTTTAAATTCTACAATTTCATTTTTCTTTTTTGTATGTTCTGATTCTCTGGTGAAATGCTCATCTTTCTAAATCTATTTTCTTCCCCCTTTGCCTCTATTTTCTTGAACATACTGGTAATAGTTACTCTTAAGTCCATGCCTATTAACTCCAATATCTGAATTATGTCTGGATCTTTCTCTATTGTCTGTTTTGTCTCTTGGCATGCCTATTCATTCTTGATTGAATGTAATATAACCTGAACTCGAGATGATTTTGTCTTCCTCCAGAGAGGATTTATCCTTTACTCTCCTGGTATGACTGAATGAAACCCAGTCACCTTTATCCAGTAAGGTACTGTGTTGACTTGAAGCTGGGTTCCAGTTGGAATAAGGATCATTTTTCTGGTTTGCCTCCGTTCTTGTTGCATAGTTCACTAGGGCTTTCAGTGGTGAAAGTGATATCTTCACTAAGGTTTTTAGAAATTCTCATTTTAGCTTCTTTAATCTCTCACTTCAGACATCTCAGAATTTGCCAAGTATCTTGAAAGGAGAACTAGATATGTGTTTCAGGCCCTTTAGGTCTCCAATTCTGTCACTCCAGCCCTGCAAAATTGCCCAAAGCTCTGCTAGTTTCCCTATTCCTAGAAGCACTCTTCTGCTAGGACAGAGCCCACATTATCAATTCCCTCATCTTCACCCAGAACCTGCAAATGCCTCCAGGGGAAAAGTGGCTGCAGATCATCAGTTTACCTCTCTGTTGTTCTCCTTTCTGAAATCTTAGTCCCTCTAGTTGTCTTTATTTTAGATCCTCCTCTATGCTTTTAAACAAATACTGTTTTTTGTACTTTATTTAGCTTTTCTAGTTGTTTTTGGTTGGCGCACTGGTCTGTCACAAACTATTCTGTTCTGTCTGGAAGCAGAAATACAGTGAGTTTTAAATTTTCTTATTATACTTTTCATTTCTGGAGGTTATATTTTGTTCATACCCAAATGCATATGATCATTTTTAGAGTTCCTGTGTCATATTTTTAATTTCCTTTTTATTTTCTTATACATTTTAAATATATATGTATTTTATTCTTAATTTCTGATAATTTTGACATGTCAAGAATTTGCTGCTCTAATTTTTTGTCTGTTATTTCTACTAGCCATATTTATTTTGCCTTACTTCTTCAGATGTTTGGTGATTCATTAATGTGAGCTTACATCTTCTTAGAATTATTCTCTATGGAGTTTTTCAAAGCCTGGGTTATAGGTGGGTTCCTCCATAGAGCTTTGCATTTGCTTCTGCTAGTCACTTGGAAGCATGTTGGATCACTTCTAAATCTTAATTTTACTCTTATTAAGCCAGTTAGGTAATGTTAATTTTGGTTGAAAATCCACGGAAGAGCTGGCCTATGGTTATAAAATTCATAGGGGAATTTTTTTTTTATCCTTCATTCATAGCCTGAGTTCAAGATTTCTCTCCCCAGATGGGTTCTGGCTTTGTCCTTTGTCCCCTTCTACATTACAAGGCCACAAAAACCCAAGCTCAACTTTACTTTATGATAAGACAAATGCTTTCAAGGTGAAAATTGCCTTTTGTGCTTTACTTACCACTCAGAGTCCCATTTTACTTAGATTTGGGGCTCAGAGTATTCCTTATTGACTGCCAACGTATTGATGAATTTGAAAAGATGTTTTTCCCATTTTCTAACATTTTTAGTTGCTTACTGCAGGAGGTACCAGGTCCATCATAGCAAGAAACAGTAGTCAAGATTGAATGTTATTAAATCTATACACACACACACACACACAGAGAGAGAGAGAGAAAGAGAGAGAGAGAGAATTGCACTGCTAATAAATGTTGTGAATTTAGTATCACTTGTATGCATGATTAAAATGAGCAGATAGTAAATTTACTTTC